GGAAAGATTCTTTTGAGAAATTATAATTACGTATGGCTTGCAGAAGGTTAGGCATTTCACTTTGATTTCTCCAGATGCCTGTTTGCCCAAAAAGATTCCCTATGGTTCGTGACTCATAGATTTTACTTAATAATATCTTTTTATGTCATTGTTTTAACCTGTCTTTCCCCTGCCCACCTTCTCATGACTGACTAACCTACCTAACAATGGCAGCCAGAGAGAGTGGTAAGGAAGGGCCCTAGAGAAGAGACACCCTTCCAGGGCACACTCCCAGGGACCCACCTCCTCCCGTCCCACCCACCTGCCTACAGTGACCAGCCAGTCAGTCCATTCAAAGTAGGATGGACAGCTCTCATAATCCCATCATTTTGACTCCAAACATTCCTACATTAACACAGGAACTTTGGGGAGCTGCCTCGTATCCGAACCATAACATAGAATGATATCTAATTGCAGACTCAATGGGGTGTGACTTCCTACAGACATCAGGAAGAAGTCCTCCATGTCTGGGCCCAGGTACCCAGGTCGCGAAATGGAATCATAACTGTTGGTATCCGTTATTTACATGAATTATGAGTCAAGCAAGGACAGGTTATCCTGCAGTAACAAATGGCCTCGCAGTCTCACTGTCTTAAAATGACAAAGGTTTATCTTTCCTATCCCACGTCCTTGGATTGGCTGAGACTCTGTTCCATGTGGTTTCCTACCTGGACCCAGGCTAATGAAATAGCTGGTATCTAGAACACTGTTCATGTCCATGCAGATTTAAAATAGGTGAACCATGCCTGTCTCTTGGGGCTTCTGCCTTGATATGACATATGTCACCTGCACTCACATTTCAGTCCTATGCCTGAGCTGAAATCCTGGGTCAGAGAAGTGTGTTGCATATAGATGTGTTCCCCTGCTAGACAGCCCTGGTGGTCCGTCAGACACCTGTAGAGTTCTTCCCTGGTGTCCCCTGAGACTCTCTTCCACTTGACTGGACCACCCACTGGACCACCTCAGTGAACCTGGAGGGAGATCATGTAACCCCCTGGGAATTTTGCAAATATGGACACTGAGGCCCAAAGAAGGGGAAATGACTGAACCAAGATCGCACAGCAACACAGCTGGCTAGGGGCACTTTCTGGAAAGTGAAAGGCTTACTGGGTCCCTGGAGGTAGAAACCCTGATCTGGCTCATGGATGCCCCTGAAGTAGCTTGAACATGACGTCATCATTTATTGAAATGATATGGGGTCTGTATGGTGCAGCCACCATGCTCACATGTGTCTTGTCCAGAATACTGCACAGAATGGTTCCTTGTTCATTGTGGCTCATCTCCCTAAAGCCCTCCCACTTCCATCACCCCCTTCCAACTTCCTGTGGTAGACCCAGAGGGTTCTGCACCCATCACCCTTGTGACAGGCCCACTTTGAAGTGCTAAGAATGCTGTCTGCTCACACCAGGGACACCCAGAGCAGAATGCACACCCATAAACTAGATTCAGAAACTGACCACCATCCCCAGGCCCTATGTGAATTCTTACACCATGGTGTGCCCCCAAAGCTGCCTCTTTCACCCCTGTCTGTATCTACTTACTGGCTCAGAGTGGCTTCCCCAAACTGAATGGCCCAGGGAGCTGGCATCAGACCTCACCTCTGGTTTGAAGCCCCCAGCACTCAAGCTGCTGCTGTTGTGTACCAGATCAGCAGGAACTCTCAGCTCCTGGTGGCCCCAGGGACTGTCATGGAGGATTCCAAAGGAACATCTTAAATACACCCTGGTGTTGAGATGATGTGCATCATCACTGCTAGTGAGACATCCACCATGCACCCTGTTCTGCTCTCCATGGGATCCCATGGGAAGAAGAGAGAGAACTTGGGAGAAAGTAAATCTTTCTCTGTTTGTTTAAGTGCACCTAGAGATGAAAGGCAATCTGTTACATTTGTGGAAGTTTGCACCATCTGGTTAAACACAACTTCATGCTCTCCGCGGGCAACATCGACAAGACAGGGAGGGTGGCCTGTCACGCCCCCTCCACAGGGAAGACAGGGGTTCCACATCGACGTCCTTGCCAGGATACATGTTGGCCTCAATAAGCCTCTCTGTGGCATCAGCCACCTGTGTGAACAGCAGGGTCCTTTGGCACAGGGCTATGCTGTGCAGGCCAACCAGATGGCCCCATGGACGCCGATGTGTGGTAGAAAGACCCTTGTCCATGTTTCTGAGCGCTGCATCTGCCCCTAGCCACCTGTGCTGCTGTGCAATCTTGGTTCAGTCATTTTCCCTTCTTTGGGCCTCAGTGTCCATATTTGCAAAATTCCCAGGAGGTTACACGATCTCCCTCCAGGTTCACCAAGGTGGTCCAGCGGGGAGCCTGGGCTTTGGAGCTCGCTGTGCTGATGGGCCCCCTCACTAGCTGGGTGCAGTCCTGGGCTTGCTCAGCCTGGGGCTTCTTCTCTGTAAACAGGACTCCTGGTAGTATTCACTACAGACAGGTAACTAAGAAGGACCATGTAAAGTACTTAACTAAATCAGATCTGATGCCAATCAGTGCCATAAAAAAAATGCTAGGAAAATAACAATTTCATAATTGCAAAACTATAAAAAGTAAAGTTCTGTAAATATCAGCTACATGTATAGAATATCACCATCCAGGGCTTGGGTTATTCTGTAATCAAACTTTCTTTCACGTCACCCCAAACCAGTCCTGAATTTTCAACTGATCCCTCCCCTAGTCTGAGGTGCCAAGTGCAGTGTGAATTCTACAGGGACAGCAGAGCCAAAAGAAGGACCTCATGTGAGGGAGTTTCAAGTCCTGCTGAGCCCTCCTCCAGACCCCCAGTATGGAGTCCTGGCTGCTGTGTGGATGGGAGAGCCAACCTCCACCGGCACCATGTGCTCATCTGTGCCCTGGGCTGTGCCCCACTGTGTGGCATCCTTGGCCTGAGCTAGCTGTCAGGAGCCTTGAGCAGTCAGCCCACATCTCTGTGGCCATCTCGGACTTCAGGAACCAACAGACACGATGTGTTCCCCAGTCACTAGCTGTCTTTATACTGGAAATCCTGATGTCAAACTGATGTCAGGTCATCTGAACATCGGGTGAATATCCAGAGCATCTCATGGGGGCACCAGGTGGGAAGGTGGGCAGTCAGGAGTAACTGAGGGCTGCTATGCCTCTGAGACAGGATAAGCGAGACCCCTGGGTAATACCCATGTAGATGGTGTCCCTACTGCCCACACTTCCCCTGCTGAGCACAAATCAGGCATCTCCCGCCTTCTCAGGCTCAGCAGTTCTAGAGCCCCTCAGGATGGACACCTCACAGGGCTATGCAGAGCATTTGGGCTCCCAGGAGGCAGATTTTGCACACAGAGCAGCCTTCCATGGTAAGCCAGTGGCTATGACCTGGTGATCTGCTCCTAGCCTGCAGGGAAGCTGTCTCTGCTGAACCTTTTAAAGAAGTCTTCTGGTTCCCAATATGGCACCTTCCTGAGGGTTTTCAGGGGCCATCTTAACTGTGGGAGATTGTCTGTGGTAGCTGACCTCAAAACCCACACCTAGGTAAGATGAGGCTCTGCTATACAGAAGTCAAAACTCCATGACGCTGACCAGCAGCAGGTACCTACAGTCAGCTCCATCTGAGTTTATGACTGGCTGGTCAGTGCTGGGAGGCAGCCCCTACACACTGGGCCTTAGACGCCCAGTTCTTATTTGTTGGACACAGCAAGGAGCTCCTGACCTCCATCCTTCCTGAGTGGCTGAGCCCTGCCTCTGTATGGACAGAAGGATGCAGAGCACTCTGCATCTGAGCCTTTTGGGAAACTGAGTGGGGCTCCGCCCAGTGGGACAGTCCTGTCTTCTCCCCCAGTGCAGCCTCGCCCTCTTACCTCAGCCCTCACTCCACTGAGCTGACCTGTGATTCTCGCTGAAAGCTCATCTTTCCACTGTTTGTCACTGCTCGAGTTATGTCCCCTTGCCGCAGTCTGGCTGGGCACAGAATCACGGCCTTCTCCGGGGCACACCACACCAACAGGAGATCCCTCCTCCAGAAATCCCTCCTACCGCACTTCCCCAACCAATGGGAACTCTCCGGGAGTCCCGGGAGAGCTCCAAAGTAGCAGGCCGAGGCGGACAGCAGGGGTCTAATCTCCAATTGAATGCACATCTTAACATAATCATTATCATCTCAATGGCTTGCTGGCATCACCTTTCAACCAAAAATGCCATGCTTCATTCCTACTGGGCTATGGCTCTTAGCATCCCCTGGCCTCAGCCTGGAATACTAGTGGTAGCAGAAACAATAGTGGAGCTGGTGACAAAGTCATAGCTGACACTCACCACGTGGCGAGCATGTTGCTCCAAGCTCTGGTGCATTATCTCATCCAGTCCCCAAACACAATGGGGAGAGGAAAGATAGAGGCAGAGAGGTCAGGTGACTTGCTCTCTGTCACAAAGCTAGCACATCATGCTGCCAGGTGTCAAATTCAAGCTTTACTGGCTTCAGAGCTCATGTTTTCAACCACTGTACCATTTGACCTCAATGAGTAGTAATAATAATTTAAAAAAAGCATGCTGAGAATAAAGGGGTTCACACTGCTTCTCAGGGGATCAGGCCCTGGAACTCTCCCCAGTCACAGTGTGGATCATGCTGGGTCAATGTGTGGGCTCTGAGCTCCTGCAGGACAGGGACTGTGTCTGATGCACCTTTGAGCCACCAGCACCTATCAGGGGACTTGGCACATAGTTAGTGCTCAAGAAACAGCAGATGGGTTAATGGATGGATGGATGGATAGATGGATTGCACCCCACCTGGCCACTGCCATCACTTACGTCTGATGCCAAAGTGACTGCTACCTCCCCAGGGATGGGGATGGCCTTGGACACTTCTGCTGCCAAGTCACCGAGCTCAGGTCTAGGCACAGACCTGACCCAGGAGCAGAAAAACAGAAGGTGAAGCTGCCCAACCCCTGAGGACTGACCCTTTGGCTTTCTGTCCCCCCCCCCGCCCCGCCCTGCAGGAGCCTCCTCGGGCATCATTGACCTCCTACCGTCCCCCAGTGCTGCCACCAACTGGACGGCAGGACTGCTGGTGGACAGCAGTGAGATGATCTTCAAGTTTGACGGCAGGCAGGGTGCCAAGATCCCAGATGGGATTGTGCCCAAGAACCTGACAGACCAGTTCACCATCACCATGTGGATGAAGCACGGCCCCAGCCCTGGCGTGAGAGCCGAGAAGGAGACCATCCTCTGCAACTCAGACAAAACCGGTGGGTCACCCTAGCCCAGCCCAGTGTCTGGGCACAGAAGTGGTCATGGGGGAAGGGAGAAGAGACGCAGTGTGGGAGGGGCCCTGGGAATGCATTCTGGATTTCTGGCTGTGGTTTACTGGGATTGGGGTGAAGTGGGAATAGGAAAGGGAAGGGGAGAAGGTACAGGTACACCAGGAATGCAAAGCTGGAACCAGTGATCTTCCAGCTGGGTTCCTCAGAACTCCAGCATCCCCAGAGGTGATGTAGGATGGCTCTGAGTGAGGTGGGGGGAGGAATCCTCACCGTGACTTCAAACAAGAAGCTCCACCTTTAGTACATAAAGACTCCCAAAGGACTTCTTTTGAATAAAAGGGTCCTGCAACTTAAAGTAGTCATTTGAAAATCACTGGCACTGGTAATATTGGTAGCTCACATTTCCTAGGCATTTAGAAAGCTTCACCTGGGCAAGACAGGACACAGGTTGGTTTTTAAAATCACTCTGCCTCTTAGTACTATGTGACCTCAGGCAAGTGGTTAAGCCTCTCTGTGCCTCGTTTTCCCAGTCTATATAATGGGCATTACAGTATCACCTCCCTTGTAGGGTTTGTATGAGAGTTAAGTAAATTAATACACATGGAGTGCTTAGAACAGTGCCTGGCACACAGGACTTGTGATTGGCGTTGGCTCTTACTAGTTAAACAGTTTCTGACTCCTTCACCAACAATTTTATAACAGCACTATTGCTTTTCCCATCTGAATGATAAGTACACATCCCTGAGAAGTTCAGCAGCTTGTCCCAGATAGTCACACAGCAAGCAAGCATCAGTAATGGAATGACAGCTTAGACCCAACCAAAGCCACGCCCCATGCTCTCGTCACTAAAGTCCCCATGCACACACACATGTGTGCACAGGTACACACATGCACAGATATTCTGAGATCTTATGCAAAATATATTACTCTGTCTTTACTGATAATTACCATTTCCCATTCAAATGCAACTTTTGTTCAAATGCCCCAAATAAATAAAAAAAACATGTCAGATGTAACAGTAAGAAGACAACATAGAAAAATGGCCAGCAGCTCAGCCTCTCCTTTTGGACAGCTTAAGTTCCACTCCTTCAGGTATAACCTTTGAGGAGTTGCTAATCTCTCTGAGCCTCAGTGTTTTAGACAGCTTTTGAGTCACTGTGACCAAATACCTGACAAGGACAACTTAGAGAAGGAAAAGTTAGTGGTTCACGGTTTCAGAGATTCAGTCCATGGTTGGCTGATTCTCTAGCTCTGGGTCAGAGATGAGATAGAACATCATAGAAAAAAGGGTGCAGTGAAGAAAGTAGCTTAGGAGTGACCTACCTCCTCCAGCCACACCCTGTCTGCCTACAATTACCACCCAGTTAATCTGTACCAGTGGATTAATCCACTGATTAGGTTATATCTCTCACAGTCTGATCACTTCACCTCTGAAAATTCTTGCATTGACTCACATATAAGTTTGGGGGGACATCTCATGTCTAACTGTAACACTCAGTTTCCCTGCATGTAAAATGGGAAAAAACAAACATGAAGTAAAGAATGAAATCACTTTGCAGCCCCAGATATATAATTAATACCTCTTTAGTTTACCTGGGGTTGCTAATGATGGTTACTATTGTTATTATTACTACTTCTGGATTTTTTTCCACTTTATGCTGCTACAAGAACCTCCATACTCCCTGTTTCAGTTGATCTTTACAGCCAAGTTAATGCATTTTCTGGATGTAGAAAGTGAGAGGGAGTGATCTAGATTTCCTTCCCCTCGTCACAAAACAAGCCTACCTGGGAGGGGTCGGTGCCAACATCAGGTTTGCTCTGGAACGTGCATGCAGGAAGGATTCCACAGACCTGTGTGAGATAGTGCTGAGATCCGGGACCAGGTTTAGTGGCCTGGCCCTCGCAGGACCTGGTGGTGCACTGCCATCTTGGTCCCAGATCCCAAACCACAGTGAAGTGGCAGCCTAGGATTGTGTAGACAGACATGGAGCAGCTGAGCTATGGTCAGTGGCCACACATATGGTGGTTTCTGAGATGTACCAGGTACCCCTGGGAGGCAGAGGAGACAGATGTAGATATTCCTGCTCAGAGAGGGAGCAACTGGAATCTGGAAGGTTGAGTGATGGGGCCTGGATGCTGCTGCCAATATCCAAGAACAGCAGGCTCGGACTCAGGAACTCTTAGCCCATGCCCAAGGGCAGACAAGTGCACCACAGGCGCGAGAGAGAGAGAGAGAGAGAGAGAGAGAGAGAGAATTTTTTTAATATTTATTTTTTAGTTTTCGGTGGACACAACATCTTTATTTTATTTTTTTATGTGGTGCTGAGGATCGAACCCAGCAGCCCGCGCATGCCAGGCGAGCACGCTACCGCTTGAGCCACATCTTCAGCCCATCTCTTTAGAATAAATTATTGCACTTGTAAAAATATGTAGTTGCCAGGGTCCCAGCCTAGGTCCATTCATCAGAATCTCAGGAGATGCTATTGGGCAGCCAAGCCTGGAAACTCTGCATCATTAGACAATGATGCCTCGGGTCATCAAAATAGTCTGCCAACAGGAGAGTCAGCACCCCAATCACCAAGAACTGGTGCTTTGCAACTTTAGCCTAGTAGAAAACCATACTTTACAAGCTCAAGATTGGCACAGAGACGATGGAAAGACTTTTTTTTTAACTTCTGTCTTTTAAAAGAAATTCTATAGATATATCTTTATCCTGAATAAAAATTAAAATATTTGCACTAAATTAAAGCCTGATTAGAGCTTTTGCATATCAGAAAATTTCCCAGCTGTAAATGTTTATAGTAGAAACGTGAAGAAGACAGAAAAGTATAAAGATATACAAACCACAAAACCCTAATACTCTGATAACACGAAGTACATTTCATTAAACACCTCTTTATTTCTCTCTATATGTACAATGTCCTTACCTTTTTAATCTATTTTTATAATACATGTGATACTATTATCTGTTTGCTTTATATAACTCTATTCAGATCACTTCTCTATGTGATGAAATATTCCTTTCAGAATGAATTCCATGGCAGTTTTAAGACTCTGTCATGTGGATTTATAATACTTCATTTCTCTGGCTCCCTTTTGTTGGGTATTTAGATTTTTCCTCTCAAATGCAAATAAAACAATCCTGTAGAGAGCATTCTACTATATAACTTTTGGACATTTCTGATGATTTCCTGACCAGAAGTTGAATTACTAAATCAAAGAATATAAATATTAAGAACGCTATTAATGTAAATTGTTGAATTGCCCTTCATGAAAATTGCATTAATTTCTGTTTGGTACAATCAGTAAAACTTATTAATGCTGGCCCACTATGAAGGAATTTATAAATAGTTGCACAACAGAATTGACTAGTCAGCAAAGGCTAATTGCAGGAAAATGTTGGGTGTTGGGGTGGCAACAACTGTTATCACTACCAAGAAACAGCATTCCCAGTGGCCAGCTCTCTCTTATCAGTTTTCCCTAGTGCGTTTGTCTAGTCACAGGTAGGCCTGGAGGGCAGGGGAGCTCTGTTTCTTCTAGACATTCTCAGACCACGGATCCTTCCACCCTCTGAAGCTGCCAAGCTCAGCCACAGATCAGAGAGCCAGGTTAGAGATGGGGCAAAAGGGTTTTATTGGCCAGGACAGAAGATCACTCTTGACCTCCCAGAACTTGGTCCCACTGCCCCACCTGACCCTGAGGAGGCTGGGAATGTGTTTAACTGAGTGTCAAGGTGCAAAGGGAACAAGGTCAGGTGAACACATAGCAGTGTCTGTCACGTGGGGCACTGTGTCTGCTGCAACCTGAGTTGGCCCTCACCTCTCTCTGCCCTGTGTGGGGGTCCCCTTCCACTGCTCTTCACAAGCTCAGCTCTGGCCCTGTCTCCCTAATCCTCTCCTACCCACCCTCCTGCTCCTGCTGCTGGGATCCCTCCTCCTGGCCTGCAGTCCTCTTGCTCCCTCTGAGATCAGCAGAAAATAATGAATGAAAAGTGGACACATGCAGAGCTAGCCACTTAGAGCTTTCCAAGAGAGAGAGAGAGGGCCAACCTGACCCAGCAGCCTCAGGTGAGAATGGCAGAGGTGTCAACCTGGTAGAGGGCTGGGATGGTCCCCACTACCTACTGGGAAAGGGAGGGGTGTGCCCACATCCCCAGCATGACCAGAAAACCTCTCAGAAAGATTCAGGTGTTGTGCTATGATAAGGAGGTGGGAACCTCCCTCCAGCCTCCCGTGGGCTGAGCTGCAGACCCTGTTCAGATGCGTGTGGACTCCAGGAGTCCAGAGCAGCAAGGCAGACGGAGGGAGCTGACCCCACAGAGAGAAATCTGTTCCTTCATTCTTCCTGATCCACCTCCTCGCCCCCAAACTGACTCCAAATAAAAAAACTGAAGGCAAAGTTTCTCTCTACCTGCACTTTCCTGACACTTATTAACAGAAACTACAGAAAAATCAGTTATATAGTGCAAAGGGAGACAGTAATATTTTTGAAGATGCCCCAAAACTAGGCCAGAGGGTTTGGCCAATCAGAGGCTCAGAGTGGTCACCCAGCCCCAGCCTGGGCCAGCGCTGCCTTGCTGGGTGACCGACCATCCTCTTCCCTGCCGTTCCCGGGTTGCATTCTGGAGAACAGCGATGTTTGTGTGCCAACAGTGTCCAACACTATTTTGCCACGTTGCCATGGTCGCGAGGCCGGGTAATGATCTCTGTGATAACAAAGTCATTGAGCGTCTGTTCCAGGCAGATGCTTTACACACATTTCTTCGTTGTGTCAATTAAGATGCTTTCAGTTCCAAGGAGTGGGAAGCCCACAGGAAACTGATATCAGACGTCTGAGAAAAGCAAACAAATGCTGGGTATGGGAGGTTCTTTTTTTTAATTATTTTTTTTAGTTGTAGATGGACACAATGCCTTTACTTATTTATTTTATGTGGCGCTGAGACTTGAACCCAGTGCCTCCCACATGCTAGGCAAGCACTCTACCACTGAGCTGCAGCCCCAGCTCGGGAGGTTCTTATAACTGAAGACACCCAGAACTGGGCTGGCTTCATAAAGTCACCCCAAAGGTAAAGTGTGATGGAGGTGTCTTTGAGTCTCTCAGATCTGTGTCCATGTATGTATCAATTCCATGTACATAAACAGGGCTGCTCACCCCCGAGGTGAGCATGGCCGCTCCCGGGGGAAAGGGTGAGCCTCTTCTACTCAGGTTCTACCAGAGTGCTTCCCAGAGCTGCCCAGGAAAACACTCATCCCTAGCCTGGACCCAGCCCCTCCCCCTTAGTGGTCCCCAGCAGAAGCTCTGTGGCCAGGAGAATGGCCTCCGTGGCTGAACTTGGGCACACCTCCTGAGCATGAGTGTCACAGAGGGGTTTCTTGCAGCTAACTGTTAGGACAGAGCCAGTGAGGATTCATCCCTGGGACTGGGATTGGTGTCCACAGGTAAGGACTGATTAGGATGCTGGGGAATCTGTCACAAGGCCACAGTCTTAGGCTACCTTAGGACCATCCAGCAAACCCATCATAATATAGTTAAGGAGACTGAGGTTCTGAGAGGCTCCACCCTAAGTCTCTATCTCTAGGGTCCCGCTCTTTCCACTACACATGGCTACCTGCTCATCCACTCAACCTTTATGATACATGAATCTTCTGTTAAGTTTCTCTGTGTACTACCACATAGGAGAATGTGAGTTCTCTGAGCACCTGTCCAAGAATAGCCCTCTTCTGATAGCTGGTAGTATCTCGTGGCCATAGGCATCATGGCCAGATTGACCTGAGAGTTCCTAAGCAGGAGAATAAGGTTTTACATGGAGGAGGAAAAGGTCCCATTGACTGATTGCTGAGTATGGGGGTGGGGGTTCTTGGCTTTGAAGAGTCACGGAATTTCATCTAAATGCTGGAAAATCAATTTGTCCCCTCCTCCTAGCCACTAAAAGCCGGGGAGCTCCTCTTAACATAGATTAAAGCAGGAGAACATGCTCTGTGGTCACCGTGTCAAGTCTGATGAAATAAAACAAACTCCAGGAGAAACCAACTAGGCTAAGGAGTCCACAGCAGCTGACATGATTGGCAGGAGCTCCCTTAACCCTCCAGGAAGTGTTTGTCACCAAAAAAAAAAAAAAAAAAAAAAGAATTTGTCAATCTAAGGAATTTTTGCCCTGGTTCTGATGCAGTGTCTGAGTATAAGTCAGGATTTGAAGGCCAGATGGCTCCCAGCAACAGTTTCAAGGTGGACTCTCCTGAGCCTTCCATTTGTCAGCACCACCATGGATGTTCCAGAATGTTCCTGGGAACCCGTTGGGACCCAGGAAACTGGAGGGCTCCTGTCCTTGGTCTTGGAGCTGTGCTTGGTCTTGGGGTGGCGGAGGCTTCTCGGTGGGGCCTGGCACAGCGACCCTCTCACTCCCACACCCTCCTTCTGGCTTTCAGAGATGAACCGGCATCACTACGCGCTCTACGTGCACAACTGCCGCCTCGTCTTCCTCCTGCGGAAGGACTTCGACCAGGCCGACACCTTCCGCCCCGCCGAGTTCCACTGGAAGCTGGACCAGGTCAGCCCAGGGGGCAGCCCTGCGCTTGCGGGGCCGGTGGGGGTTCGCTCCCGCGCTGATGGCAGCAGGTGGCTACTTCCAGGTTGTGGTCACTTGCTGGGTTTTGGAAAAATCAGACCCGGGAGGCGCATGGCATCTCAGAGTCCTGATGGAAACTGTCCCTTGATGCGCATTACAGGGGGAGGCCCGCTTCCCAGCAGGACACCGCGCATGGGTTGGGTGCGCTGTCCACCCTTTGCCAGAGTTGAGCGCAGGGAATTGGCCTCTCCTGATCCCCGGGTCCGGCTTATGATGGTGGTTAGCACGTTTCTGCATCGTAAATGCTCCTTGGGTGGCTCTGCCACCTCCTCTGCATGACGATGCCACTTGCTTTGGTGACAGGAGGTTGAGAACTGGGACCTGAGGACTTTAAAGCGAACAGTGACTCAGAGCACCCTGAGCAGTGCGTGGCCTTTTCTGAAATGGAAAATCCGACTTGCTCCAAGGCCTCGGGACTTTTGATGGCCAAGGCCACGGGGCCACGCTTGTCAAAGGCAGATTACGTGTCGGGCTTGAATCCAGGGCTTTGAAGTGTGTTTCCAAGGGCTGAGCAGCAAGCCCAGAGTTGGCCTTTGCTTAGATTCCAATGGGGGATGAGGAGAGTGTGCATATTTAAAAGCAGTTTTAAGGGAGATTGCCGTTAGCCAGACATGGGGAGTGTAAAGTGGTGATGCTTAAGGAAGCAGATGGAATGACACTCATCTTATGACCCTTAGTTCCTGAGGCCTCAGCCTCTTGTTTTGCTTTTACTCTGCCCTACCCTTATCCTGAGATGGGTGCTTCTGGGACCCTCAGTCTTCTTGTCGTCCTCCAAAGCCTATTGGGTATACTACCTGCCTCACCTTGTCTAGGGTGGAATGATTCAGTATCCTGTCCCTCCTCTTTTCTTATTGCTACATTTCTACCCCATCCTCTTCCTAAATCCCTAGGCCCCCATTAGGACTGATCTCTGCGAGAACTAATTCACACTGAGATGTGAGTGGTTGCTATCCCCTTGCATCTCCACAGAAATATACATACATACTCTTTAAAATAAACCCCAGGGAATCCCCACTGGTGGGTTCCGGGCAGTGTGACAAGATCAAGGCTTCCACACTTAGGAGAAAGAAGTGTGGGTGAGTTTGGTGGCAAGTGCCTAACCCTCTCCTAGTAACTCCCATGCTGCTGGCTTCCAGGACTCCAGGAAGATGGCATCTGGATTAGTGTGTGTTCCTCTGTGTTTGGAATTCTGGGTCTTGCAGGAACCGTGAAATCTTGACGTAGTTTATATGATTTCTCAGCAACCTCTCAGCTATGTCCTAACATGCCAGATGGCTTTTATGGGATGTTTTAAAATATATAATACAAATTGAAGTGAATCAAAATAAATTCCATATTGCAAAGGGTTTTTTTTTTTTTTTTTTTTTTTTAATAAGAACACTGCCATACTAGTGGAGATAATTATAGATACCCTGTGGCGCTTTCTGAAATGGGCTTGAGAAGAACGGATAGAGAAGTAAAATAAAGTTGAGGGGTTTGAAATTAAAATTAGGCAAGGAGGGAATTCTAGTTGTACAGATAAATATATAGTGAATCTAGCGATTCTGAAATCTGTTCCTAAAGTGGTAGGCTTAAGGGGGGGGGGGGGGGGGCAAGGCCCATGGAACACCTCCAGGTTGTCTTGATTTCACTGACACCATGTGCTGGTGCCTGGGAGGGGCCCCTCTCTGCTCTGCTGCAGGCCTTCCTGTGCCCTGGGAGCCAGGAGACCCAGGTTCAGTGACCCCGGGCCACCCCGCAAACCATGGTCAGCACCTTCCCTTTCCTTATGTTACACTGCTCCTTTGGTGAGTGGGGTAATTTAAAATTTAAAACATGTTGAGTTCTCAGATGTTTTAAATTTATGGATCAGAATTATCACTGAAATGCAAAATGTTTGCAGTCTTCGTGAAACCTCATAAAATTGTCGGATCTTGGCTTTGCTCAAGTTCTGTCTTCCTCCTTGACTTAGTTTGCACAGTCTGCTATAACAAAGTACCCCAGGCTGGATTTTTTTAAACAGTAAAAATTGATTTTGAGCCAGTGATGAAGGCCAAGAAGTCCAATATCAAGGTGCCTACCAATTCAGCTTAGCTCACAGAGGACCTCCTTCACACTGTGTCCTCACATGGGAGAGAGAGAGAGACAGAGAGAGAGAGAGTTCTTGCATCTGAGGTTAGCAACCAGCTATATCAAATTTCGGTCCCATGCACAAGGCCTTGGGTTTGATCCCCAGCACCACAAAAAAAAAAAAAAAAAAAAAAGTTACAGTCCCTCCCAGATGGCCTCCCTTAACCTCAATTGCTCCCTAAAGGCCCTATATCCAAAAATATTGGAAAAAGTGTTTCAAAATGTGAATTTGGGACAAATACAATTCAGTTCCCAGTATTTGCATAATAAAGAAATTAATAATCATAAATTTTATTTTTAATTTAGTTTATTTGTTCTTTTATTTATACATGACAGTAGTTTATTTTGACTTATTTATACAAACATGGAGTATGTCTTATTCCAGTTCGGATCCTAGTCTTGTGGATGTCCATTATGGGGAGATTCACTGTGGTGGATTCATGTACATGCATAGGAAAGTCACGTTAGATTCATTGCACTGTCTTTCCCAGACCAGAAATCCTGTACCCACCAGGAGAAAATGTAGGCCCAACACCCCATCATGTCAGCTTAGGAAACGGCTTCCTCAACAAGACTCCTAAAGTGCAAGAAGTAATATTCAAAAATTTCAGAGATTACCTATTGATAGATGCCCCAGGTCACCTGGACAGTTGTCTTCCCTCTGAAGAAGGACCCAGTGAAGAGCTGCTTGCAAGTCTAGTGATAGCCACGAACCAGCCCACAGATTCCTCTTTCTCCTTACTGAGCTCCCTGTGTTAGGGGACAGAGCGACATGAGCAGTGGGAACCCGAGGTTAAGAGAATGATTCTGTAAGCTGGGCCCGCTGTGCCGACCCTCGCATGCTCTCTTTTCCAAGAAGCAATTTACCTGCAGCTCTGGCTGGCCTAAGTGGACAGGATCTGTCACATTCCTCTGCACACTACCTGTTATCTGCAGGAGAGATGCAGGCCCAAAACAATGTCCACAGAGGAACCCAAGCTCCCCTGAAGGGGGAAGACTTCCATGCCCTTTACTAGACCAGATCCTGAAACTCAGGGAAATAAGGATGATTCCTCCTAACCATAAAATCTGTAAGAATCTATGGTTAAGAATCCAGTTAGAACTGGTCAGCATGGGCCACCGTGACCTAGAGTTGTCATGGCAGTGGGAACTTGGAAGTCTGATGTCACCCAGCTGTCAGTCAAAAGTCAAGAGATAGACCTGAGCAAGACTCTCTGGAAACTTCTCCAGGATCCCCAGTAAAACTGGAGTGCAGGCCAGGCACAGGGTCCCTCTCCTCTCAGAGAGGACTCTCTCTCCTTTGAGAGTGTCCCCATTCCCTTTTCCTATCCCTTCTATAAACTCATGCCTGCTTCTTTGAGCAACATGTCTAAAATCTTTCTGATTTGATCACAAGAATCAGGGTTTGAGAAAGCCTCTGTCCCCGAGAAGCCATCCTGGGGCACCCTCTAGAGGTTCCCCTCTCCCCTCTGCTCATCACACTGTGCAGAACACCAGCCTGATATCTGCTGCACGGTCCTTACCCCATTCACCCGGCCTGTCCATTCATGCTGAGCACGTGGGGCAGGACTGCGTCTCACAGTCCTCAAAGCTGAGTGCAGGTCCCAGCCCTGCGCACAATGTTCATGCCCAGTAAGTGCTTGCGTATCAATGAATGGGTGTCGAGATCCAAAGAAGGGAGACAGGAAGTGGGGCAGGGAGTCAGGGGAAGGAGAGAAAAAACATCTAGAGATGTTTTAAAACACCTCCTGCTGATTAATTGATCTTTTGATTCATTTGATTGAGCATTTTAATATTCTAAAATTCTGTCATTTTTCACTCTCTGGCTCTCTCATGTTGCTTATCTTTGATCTTGATATCTTATTTCAAAGACTCAGCTGTGTTTGCTAGCAGTGGGTCTCAGCCTTCACTAGAAAGGACTCAAGCTGGCCTAATACTGTGTGTATTTAAACCCCTGGTCCGCCTTGGACATTCCGGAGGCTGCATCCTGTTCTAACGCAGCTCCCTGAGTTCTTTACTGAGCAGTCTATCCTGATTACAAACTATGAGCCAGGCTCTGTGGTGGGAACTCAGGATCAGCAGATAAAATAGGTGCATCTGCCTTCTACAAGTGTCCTTCTAGATCAAACTGGATCAAACCAATACATTAACAGGTAGTTGACAGTCTGGTGCAGTCGGTAGGGGCAGAGGGCAGGGAGCCAGATGTTGGAGCCCATGCAGGAGCACAGATATGGATCTGGGGATAAGAGAAAGCCTCCCGGTGGGGACAGCTGGCCGTAGTGGAGGGCTTCATGGTGCCCGGCTAGGTGGCCAAGATGGCGGACAGTGGGCAGGAGGGCTGTCTGCAGGTGGGCATAGGGGGGAACTTTGACGAAAGTCAGGACCCAAATGCAAAGGAGCAGATGGGAATTAAATCACCAATGGCTTTTTATGATCATGTTATTGAGTTGTCTCTTTATCCCCCTAGAAATGGGTCAGAAGACTGAGAATATTAGGGATGCGGAAATGTGGAGAAGGCTAGTCTGACAGTCATCACATTGATCAAGTTTCAGCAAGTATAACTCAGGCCATTCAATGGGGCCAGTGGCAGGGGCCGGGGAAGCAGAATCTCCCTGCCTCCTGTATCCACACCCAGGCCAAGAGACCCAGCTCAGAAGAGGAGGGTTGGAGTAGGTGGGTCCTCACAGGCATTGAAGCCAGGGTACGGTGTACAGGACGGTTTCCACAGAGCTCTTCCACAGTGTGCCTGGTGAGTGCCACAGCTGTCACAGAAGCACTGTGTGCTCTTGATCCCGTTGCCCCACACCTTTTGC